AAGTTCTGCATTATCTAAATAAAGATGATTTATAACATATAAATATTAAGAAATGAAATAGGGTTAAATAAGAAGTGGGCTCACACATATAAAACAGATCAACTCAGGACGATCACAGTTGAAAATAGTCGATTTGCCTTCCTGTGAACGCAAGTTCAAGAAGCACTGGGTTCTTTTTATTAGATTATTTTTAAAAAAAAAATAAATAATTATTTATTTAAATGAGCCTACCAGAAAACCTTGAATTTTAACTATTTAAGGTTTGAATTCAAACCTTAGCCATTTCTGGGTTTTAAACCATTTCTCAAACATATTTTGTTAATCAATTTTCATTAGCGTTTTGTCCCCCCAAGGTTTAATGGGAATAATATTCTTGTAACCGAGGTCTAATGCTGAAATTAATTTGATGATTGCAGCTCCAACATTTGTCCAAGATACCAGCCTATATATAGGTATGCATGCAAACAAAGCCATTTGCTTGCCTCTTGAGTTTTCGAGGCTCTTCTTTCCTCCTCTGACTTATATTGTGTTTTGGTCTGTTTGAGTTTGCTGATGTTTGTTGTTTCTGTTACCTTGCGTTTGCAAAATGTGCTTGTTTAATCTTGAAGAATCGTTGGTTTGATGTACCAATGTGCCGGAATAGTTCTTAAAGATAATGTCCTTTGACATGCCTTAAGCAACCTTCATTTTCCTACCTACCGATAACAATTAGTGTATGCACATTGTAACATCCAAAAATTTTAAATCTAAAAAAAATTGACTAATTAAAAGATAAATTAGTTAAAAATATGATTAATTAATTTAAATATGTTTTTGAGTTGTTAATTGAATTTTTAGGTCATATTTGGCTCTAAATTGAGTTAGGATAAAAGTTGGATCAAGTTAGGTGGCATCAGGGGGAGCAAAATCAACATTTTGCTTGCTGCATCGTGAGCCGCAACTTATGTGACATGTGCTGTGACACACAGCACAACAGGTAAATTAAAATTTAAAAAATGATCAGAAAATGATAGTTTTTGTGGTGGAAACCTAGAACACAAAGGAGTAAGTTTTGGGCACTGTTAGGGCATCATGCATCATTTTGGGAGGATTTTGAAGATAAATCGAGCCTTCAAACTCTTGAGTAAGTTTTTTACTCTTCTCCTCTACCTTTTCATCTTATTTTTCATAAGATTTGAAAGTGAGAGAATTTACTTTGACTGGATTAAGCCATGAGTCTATGTTTTAAAGGTTTTTATTGACTCTAAAGATTTAAGTTAGGTTTATTAATCTTGAATATGTGGTAATATGAAGCTACTTTATTGTTTGGTGAAATTTGGATCAAGCCCTAACTTGATCATTTGAAATGTGATAAGTTGAGATATTAAGTGTTATGTATTGAGAGAATTAGAGGGAGGCTTGAAAGGATTGTGTGAACAAATTCTAATCTTAACAAGCCTCTTTGTTGAGAATGTGAGTGAGAAGTGGAAGAATTGAGAGGTTATTAGTAGCTAATAGTGCTTGTATTGATTAAAAATTAATATATAATACTTGTTGATGTAGATTGTGGTGTGGGAAGACTTATCTTGACACAAGAAGAGATTTAGTACTACGGGTAACCCTTTTAATAACAAAAGTGTTGAGGTAATTAAATAATTTACATTATTTATTACCTAGTATAAGTTATTCTTAAGTTGTTCTTGCATGTTTTGTATGTTTATATGTATGAATTTTATCAAAGTTAACTATTTTAAAAAATAAGTGAAATATTGACTTGTAAAATGTCAAGTTTTTCAAGTAAATAGTAATATTCATTATATTAGTTTAAAAAATGATTTATGCATAATTAAGTGGATATATGTAGTGAAATGTAACATATTAGAGGGTGGGAGGTCACCTTAGTGGAGTCAGTGAAGATTAAGTTCATATGGCATTGCTGGCATCTCGAGATGTCAGGTGCAGCATTTACTCTCCTTAGTACTCGAAAATGAGTGTAGTGTTGGAGACTTATTCTCCTTGGTCCCTAAAAAAGTGCGGAGTTGGAGACCATACTCTTTAGCTTCCATAGGATGCGGTGTTAAAGTAATGACACCTCAATTACATGTAATAGGAGAACCAGTAGTCCAGAAGTGGGTTAGGATACCTTAGCCGGGTAGTTCTACCATAAATGACAAGCTTGGAGATTATACATGTGATTTGGTTTTGTGAAATAGCCTACCAGTTCGGTCCAGAGTATTAGAGGACTGGATGGTTAGGAATCATGCATGTAACTTGTGGTGATTTTATATGATGTATTTATTTTACTTGATTTAAGGCTTGTTTATAACATGGCATGTTAATCAATAATATAGCTTATCTTAGTTACTGAGATATTTATCTCATTCCGTGGTTATCATTTTACAAGTTCTACCGTTGAGATTAAGCAAAGGAAGGAATCGGGCAAGGATTAGCAGATTTGCTACATCAAATAGCGGTGCTCAATTTTGGTTTGAGTGGTATACATAAACTTGTTATATGATATATGTTGCAACTAGGAATGCATATCATTTTGATTAGTTGCACTTGTTTCATACTATGTTATTTTGTATTTTAGTCCAATATTATACATGATGTGAATATGTGGCAACTTTTGTAGTGATGGGCTAAAATACTAATACAAGTGCAAGGAATATTTTATTTATGTGGTGACAATATATATATATATATATATATTGTATTATATGACTAGTGTTGATTGTGTATTTTGACCATATTAGGTGAAAGGACCATTGAGTGGCCAAATTTTGTGTTTGGTATGTTTTTATGTGTTTGAATCCTCAACCAAGTGTATTTTGATCTATTGAACTTGGTTTAAGTTTCACAATGAGTTAATGGTATAAGTTATGTATTTTAGGTACTTGAATGGTTAAAAATTACTTTAAAAACTGACTTTTGCATCTGAGTATCTAAAATTTTCATACAGTGTTGGATCATAATGAAACTTATACCATTAATTAGCTTATTGAATAAATTTCGCGTGGGCACTTGAATCACTCCAATCGAACATTGGATGCAAAAATGACGTGTGTTCGAAATTCGTTCAGAAAAGCTGTCATGACAGCATTGCTATCATGAACATATACGTCGCAGCACACGGTACAATAAAAAAACTTGCCTTTCTGTGTCACATGCCGCGGCGCATGGACCAAAATATTCAAAAATGACATTTTTGGCCCTATTTTAAAATGTTTTGCCTCCCAAAACTTGTCCATGCTTCCAATACCTTTATAAATTATTAAGTTTGAGCTCAAACTATAAATTTAAAGAGTTTTTATGGGATCTCAAGTTTTTCAAAATTATATCTAAAAGATTATAAATTTTAACTCTTATATAGATAATGTAAGCTTAGGAGCAATCCTTGTTCTTAATTATGATTGTTTGTTGTGATTGTATGGTGAATTTTGATAATATCAAGATAGACATTACACACATATATCCATAGATATCAGGGACAATGTGACCGTGATTTGCGTCGTTGTAAATATCATGAAATTAAATGCTGCCAGTGACTGGACAGCTTTTACGCAATGAATAATAAAAATCCAGGACAAAGTTTGAGTTTGGTTTCCTCTCAAATGTCAAATTAGCAAGTAATTTTTCAGGAGTGCATGATTATTTTTAAATAAAATATGTTTTTTTATAAATTTTAAGAAATTAATTATTTGATCCTTGTAGTTTTATTCCACTCACAACTCAATGTCTAAATTTTAACTCGTTATAATTTAATTATTATAATTTTAACTTAGTTATAATTTAGTTCCTAAATGTTGTATCTTATAATTTAGTCTCTCTATTTTCAACTACTTAAATATTAATTTTTATATTTTAAAAAAATAAAATTATAAAGATTAAAAATATCTTAAATCTTTAATATTTATAATATATATAAAGATTAAAAGGTTTAATAATTTAAAATATTAGCAATACATTTCAACATAATTTTAATCTTCACCAGTATTATAAATATTATAAATATTAAAAGTTTAAAATATTATAAATCCTAAAACTTTAAAATATTATGGGTTTTATCTTTTAGTATTATAAATATTAAAGGTTAAAAATATTTTTAATCTTTATAATTTTATTTTTTTAAAATATAAAAATTAATATTTAAGTTGTTGAAACTATAGAAAATTAATTGCAAGAGGCAAGGGATTGAGCGACAATCAAGTTAAAACTATAAAGACTGAATTATAATAAGTTAAAATTCAATAACTGAGTTATAATTAGATAAAAATTCTAAATATTTATTCAATTAATTTTTTATATAAATTTTGAATTGAAAATGATCACTTAGCGATCGATTCAATGGTTTTAATTTAAATTTAAATGTGCCATCATCTCTTACCTTTTATAGATCAATTTAATAATTCAATTTTTTTTATTTCATCATAGAAATATTGGCTATTTTAATTTAAAATATACTTGCATTCTCTATCTTCATTATTGGCATGTCTTACAAATAAAAATGGACATGGTTGATCAGGCCAGTAACAAGCATAAAAATGACTCATTTTTTGAATGTCACGTACGTTTGAGCCTTCTTGGGCATCTTTAAATTATAATTCACACCTTTTTTAGAAGTTGGATTTTTTTTTCCCGAGTCTGAATTAGCTCCAACTGACATTTCTAACTTTTTTATTTTATATTTTGAAATCAAGTGTTAAATTTCAATTTAAAAATGATAACATACAGTTTCTTTTTAAATTTACCTAAAAATTTCATGAGATATATATAAAAATTTTAATTTTACCTAGAATAATTTATAGCATTAATTTAAGACTTTGATTTTTTTTTTGCCCAACAGTTTTTGTATCTCTCTGTTGGTTAAAAAAAAAAAAGTCTTCGCATCTCTCGTACTGTTTTTTCCCAAAAAAAAATCTCCTTGGCAATATCTCGAACTGGTGACCGAAGAACCCGGTTACCACCATGAGAGAGAAAATGTTTATATATTCCATCCCCTCTTAAAATGGGTTGAAGTGTTCCTTCAAACGTCCCATCTCTCTCCCTCTCCCTCCCTCTGTCTCTCTCTCTCTCTCTCTCTCTCTCTGCTCATGGAATCCGATAGTCGGCGATGCTTTCGCTCCCGACGCTGAACTCATCGCCGAGGAAATTACGAATGCAATTTCTCTTGGCTCAAGTGTAGGTGCTTCCTTCTCTTATCTCCGCCGTTGAGCTATATCATCTCTCTCCTTCTTTCACCGTCGTCGGAAACCTGCTCCGGCGAGTTGGAGAGAGTCAAGCAGCTTCTGCTTCCTTTTGCTTTGTTTTTGTTGTGTAGTGTAATCCCTAGCTCTCCGAAGTTCTTTCATCCTTCAACTCTACTTACGTTCTCACTCTATTTTTTCTGGAACCCCTCATTTTTTGCCGTTTTGCTTACATTACCTGCGATTGATTGTTTTCAATCGGATCGATTTTCGTCTTCGGATTCGTCGATGGAAAGAGTATCATACCTGGAATTGTACCAAGAATAGTTGACTGTTATAGCTAATAATATAGTGCCGAAAATACAGAGAGTTTAGTTGAAGTTTGACAACCATGTTAGATCTTAATCTCAATGCGGATTTAGCCGATTTGACTCATAACCATAACTCGGTCATGTTCCTTGACAAATTTCCTGAAGCTTCGGCGAATCAAATGGCGGAATCGGGGACCTCTAATTCATCTGTTGTCAATGCCGACGGGTCCAGTACTGGAGGAGGCGATGATGACTCTTGCTCTACACGCGCCGGCGACGTAGTCACCTTCAATTTCGATATCCTTAAGGTGGACAGCGGCAACGACGTCTCAACCAGGGAGCTGTTTCCAGTGAGTGGAACTAAAGGAGTGGATAGAGACTCAGGGATTTGGCAGGGGCAATCTTCATCGCCTTTTCCATCCAATGAGAGCTGGATGGAACTCTCATTCGATAGTCAAGGTGGCCGCGCACAGGCAAAGACGATTCAACTTCAGCAACAACCTCAGCCGCAGGTGAAGAAGAGCAGGAGAGGACCAAGGTCTCGGAGCTCCCAGTACAGAGGAGTCACCTTCTATAGGAGGACTGGCAGATGGGAATCACATATCTGGTTGGTAATATTAGATAAATTTAGCATTTCATTTTAATTTCTAGCATGTCCTCTCTACAAGTTGGTCGCATTTTTACTTTTTGTTTTGGTTAAGGCCTTTTACTCATGTCAGTGCTTGCCTATGTTGAATCTAGTTGAATTTGATTATTTCTTTTATTTAACTAATCTGATTTCCTCTGACCACGCGATCATCTATAATATATTGGGAATGAAATTAAATAATGTGCTGATATGTTAATTTTGGTAATACGTGTTTGAATTACCTCTGATGTTCTTTTCTTCCGTGGCTAATTAACGTAGGGATTGCGGCAAACAAGTCTATTTAGGTACGAATTTAGTGTTGTGAATTCAATTAATATTTAAATTATTATCTATCGTTTTACTATATTTAGCAATTTTTGACGAAATTGTCATGGGAACATGTAGGCGGTTTTGACACTGCACATGCCGCTGCTAGGTAAACTTTTGCTCATACATAATTTTCATCGGCATATTTCCGCTCTGGAACCTGCTTTTGCATCTTCTAAGAATTTGAACATGTTCACTGTCCTCCTCACTTGACTTCGAATTTTCATCTGCAGAGCCTACGATCGAGCTGCTATTAAATTCAGGGGAGTTGATGCTGATATCAATTTCAACCTCAGTGATTATGAGGAGGATCTTAAACAGGTTTGGAACTGCACAAGCACTGATCAATCTGAGGGTCTGACCGTAAAATTTGTCACCATTTACTAAATGATGAACAGATGAAGAATCTCACCAAGGAGGAGTTTGTTCACATTCTTCGTCGCCAGAGTACCGGTTTCTCTAGGGGTAGCTCAAGATACCGAGGCGTAACACTACACAAATGTGGACGCTGGGAAGCTCGGATGGGGCAATTTCTTGGCAAAAAGTGAGGACCTGTTTCATAAAAACTGAAGTAATGGAGTGTTGTGGTTCATGATGAGTTGTTACAATCCAAGCATCAATTGATTTGCAATAAAAATTGGTTTCAAATGAGTTCATATGGGCTATTTTTGGCTCTCTCTTTTCCCGCATATCCCTTTGTTTGGAGAAACTTGTCTAACTAAACTGCATATTTCCAAGAAACAATTGGCAAAGTTGTCTTTATTATGGAGATTGCAATGCTTTCATGCAGGTATATATACCTTGGGCTGTTCGACAGCGAAGTAGAAGCTGCAAGGTCCTAATGATACACGAATTACATTCTACCTGCACTGAATTTAATTATGCTGAAGTATTTAGCTGATGAGGCTTTCATCAAATATGTATCTTCCTTTTTTTGGTTGTTGAAATCAGGGCTTACGATAGAGCAGCCATTAAGTGCAATGGAAGGGAGGCAGTAACTAACTTTGAGCCGAGTACTTATGAAGGGGAGTTGGACGCTGATGCAATCGATGAAGGTAGTTTTTCTTATAATGATATTTGATCAACTCTCTGTATAGTTACTTTCTAACTGATTGTCCGCCTAAAAGATAATTTCTGTGGGAATTGTTTTTATAACTCAGGTGTCAGTCACAATCTTGACCTCAATTTAGGCATAGCAACCCCAGGCAAAGGTCCCAATGAAAGCAGGGGCAATCTTGAGCTCCAGTCTTTTCCTTACAATATGCATGCCAGAACAAGTTCAACGGTATTTTGAACTTTAGTGTAGGGATGGTATTTTGAAATGTAGTCTGAGAGAGTTGTTTTGGCATCTGTAAGATCCTATTTCGCTAACAATAACTCCCCCTCTCTCCTATTTGCAGGTGGCGACCAACACTGACTCAGTAAATGGCAATCGAGCTATGAAAAAGCTTCTAGTAACTGGAGATAGCCCTTCTGTATGGAATGGCATATTTCCAAATTTCTTTCCCAGTGAGGTGAGTATCACTGTCTGGTATTTAGTTTCACAACTTGACCTGATTGCTTATTCGTTGACCGCGTGCTTCTGCCAAAAATTTTCCTATCACAATTCTTGCTGGTGTCTGTCTTTGAATAAGGAGGGGTGGTTGGCTTTTTAATTTCATAGCAAACTGTGAAAATTGACTTTTATGTTCCAGAAATCCTAGTTGTTTGGTGCTATGCATGTCATCGGAAAAGTTAAGGCTACGTTGTTCAATACCTGGATGAGAAACTGTTTCATAATTTTTGTGAAAACATTACATGGGGGATCAGTCAATAAGCACGTCCCGGTAATCTACTAATTATTAGACATTTGGAAGTTTTGCTTGTTATATCGATAAATTAAATTAAGATAACTTGAAGAGTGTGGCTGAAGAACTTGTATTTTTAAGTCCATTCACAGCATTGGAAAGAACTTTAAATACGTTTTATAATGTTTAATTCCGTGAATTAAAATTTTCTGGCGTCACTTTTTAATAATGGTATTTCTGGTGTGTTGCAAGGTGACTGAACTTCTGATAAGAACAATTGTCTTTTTTTATGGTTGTTGCTTACATAGAGGGTGGTGACAATGCGCATGAACAACATTTTGGCAGTAGATAGTGTGAGATCTTGTTTTACCTATTTGCGCAGGAAAGGGCAGAGATAATGAGGACGGGACTCCCCAGCTGGACGTGGCGAACATATGGCGAGCCAAGTGCTACCCCAGCTCCACAGTTCTCTGCTGCAGCATCATCAGGATTCTCCATTTCATCCACCTTTCCACCGTCCACTGCCATCTTCCCGGTGAAACCTATGAACTCACTCCCCCTCACTCTCTCTTTTTCCTCTTCATCCAGCACAGCTGCCCCCACCACATATCAGCATTATTGCCACATGAAGCACCCGCACTCTCCACCCTAACCTAACTTTTGTGTCTGATGCTTGGCAAGTTACCTGATTCATATACTCCCACGCTCGGGATTCCTGGTTTTCTCTAAACCTGATTGGTTATTGATCCCTTTTATTATGCGTTATCTTCACTTTCAAACCATCATCTACGTCTCATGCTTGATTGACTCTGCATCAAGCATCATACATGTCTTTATACAATCACTTTCGATTTCGAAGATTAGACGCCAACTATGGGTTGCATTGTTCCATACGCTTTCCAAAATCAAACTTTAGATGTAGAATGAATTTGTGCGCCAATATAATTTTGAATGATGCCAAAAGGCGGAGCAAACGACAAAACATGCAAATACATGGATCAATATATGCGTAGTTGTATATATGCATGTATTCATTGGAAATTTTCCTGTACTAAATATAGGTGTTCTTACAATCTTATCATGAGAAAAATTTGTTGTATCGTTAATTAAGAAAATAGCTTAAAATTTTGTTTACTTTTTTTAATTAAAGGAATTTAAATACCATCATTATGGGAGCACTCGTTGAAAGTCTCAATGCTAAAAATAACAAGCAATTAGATAATGACATGCCCCTTATATTTGTCAAAAAGTATTCATAGCAGAAATTAATTTTTAAGTGACATCAAATGACGAAGGGAAAATAAGAATCAAGGACCGTTATAGGAAGTTTCTATCAAATAAAAATTTATTGTCCAAATTCAAATGAAAAATAAGTTTAGATGGATTGTTAATTTAGAAAACTTAAATAAGTTTTTAGAGAGAAGATTATGTAGCATTGATAAATATTCATTTAGAATTTAATAACAAAAGATCTTCGATTAATATCAATTTTTACCAGCGATCCTTTATATTTTTCCAATGACAAATTCATTCCTCTACATGGACTGATAAGAGAAGCCATGGAATCCCAAGTCCAAGGACTGAAAGAAAAGCCCATTTCAGGACTCGTACAAACAACAAAACACGGGACTGACCGCGGGATTCATTTGCGAACATTAATTGCTGCATCCAAATTCCAGGTTCGGATTTCTCAACGGGCTCCGTAGACGTATCCCCCAGATCCATGGAAATCCAACACCGTTACTTTATTATTTTTCCTTCGATTCTCCATTACAATTCTTTTGTAATTTCTGCCATACCATTAGCTACTTGTTTTCCCCAGCGTTACAGATCTTCAAATTTTCATCATCTCTCTCTCTCTCTCTTTTAACCACTCACCATTCAGAAAACTTATTACAACGAACCCCAGAACTTGTTTGATTGAAAAATCAGATTCACCACTACTGGAAGATTAATTCCTCCAGCATGCCTGCAGCCTTAACCGCGAACACTACAACTAACGTGCAAACTGGCTACCCAAAGGGCATGTTCAATGGCTTTTTTTTTTTTTTTCCCAGACTTTCTCATCTGAGCAACGGACCTTGCTCAGGCTGCGACATTCCCTAATGCAATGATCTGCTATCCATTCTTAAAATTAAAAAGATGGAAGTGATACAAGTCTGATTTTCACTTTGTTCGTTTAGTTCGAAAAGATAACTTTCAATAACTAACATTGAAACAAAATAAACTTCGGACTGCCAAGGCTGATATTATGGCAACAAATTCTTAGAATTTGAACTCAGACCTTATTTTTAAGCATCGACAATACAAACATGTCCTTCAAATTGTCTCAACAAGCTCGGATACCTGCAGCAGACTACTGGTGGATCAGAAAATACAGAAAATTGGCTGCTATTACAGCTCACGCATAAGATGGTTCAGACGGCGACTTTATTAAGACAAGGATAAAGACAAGCAATACCACTAATACTAGACATTTTATTAAAAATGAAACTAAGAATAGTGGCTTAACAGGCCCGGACCTATCTAGCTGGGGACTAGAGCAACCCCCCCCCCCCCAAAAAAAAGGAGCTGCTCTAAATATTCTAGCGCAAAGAAAAATAAATATAAATGCAATATAATTTAGATCTTCAAGGAAATACCAGAAGCCACAAGCTCTGCCTAGCAAGCGACAATATTACATAATTTCCGAGGCTGCTTTTCCAGTTTTCGCTTCATTCACTGAACCTAATAATACGAAAGGCAAAACCCTTCGAAGATGCGACAAAGGCTCTAAGAACAATAATTGCCATTGAATCAGTCCCATCAAATTTGTATATACTTCTATCCACAAGTGTGGTTAAAACATTAAGAAAATTACAATACTAATAAACATGGGATTCATTGATTGGATCTAAATCAACAAGAAGTTTTTCAGCTCTGCACTCTGTAGGGAAAACACTCGCAACTAAGTTCTACCTGGCAGTTCGATAACAATGGTATTGGCAATTTGTACACCACTACAGCTCACTTCTGCGAATCCGGACCTTCAAAGGGCAGGAAGGTAAAATCAGGGCCCATGGTATAAAAAGCAAATAGCAGTGCACTCAACGTATAATGAGAATGCCAGTGCAGGGAGCCAAACAAAAAATCTGGAGGGCATGGGGGAGGAAAAAACTTTAAACGCACATCTAGATAAAAATGCCAAGCTAACAACTAAACCAGAAGGAAAAAAAAAAAAACAGTTGAGGATTACCAGCTGCAGCTAAAGACCAAACTTCTAGGGAGTTTGACAATGTTTCCTCACTAGTTAGCCCAACAGATCAATCATAAGTCAGTCCCATCACCTTCAGCTATGCAACAAAATAGTTTCCATCTCTGTCTTGGCTTCAGTGGCTAGCCAACAGAAAACTAGACAGCTAAGTAAATCACATCCCATAAGTTCGGTTGTAAAGATCTCCAGAATTTGGCATCCGATATTTTGAATCATCATATCCTGTATATAACTTGTTAATTCCAAGTCTTTCATTTCTTAGTAGCTCAGCCACCCCCCGACTACTTCCACTGTGCACTTCATTCCACCCATCCCAATGGCCATTAGACAAAAGAGCATTTCTAGACTGCTGTAAGGACAACTGAGCAAAGGGGGTCAAATTGCTGACTTGTGATTGATCTAACCTTGAAGAAATGCCATAAGAATCACCAATCTGAGAAAAAGTACTCCCAATTTCAGAAAATCTGTTCTGTGGTTGTGAGAGAGATCTTTGCATCAATAATTGAAGTCTGGCCTCATTTTCAAAGTAATTTAATTGTGGGGAGAAACTAGATCTGATGTCCAACCCTGGGCTGTTTAGTGGACCTTGAAGTCTGCCAGTGCCAACAGCCAAAATGGCCGGATCTATTAATTCAATGTCCCCTGTACCACCAATATTTCCAGCTGTGGGTATCTGATATGAATTTCTCAACGAGGATGGGTCGAGCAATGAATTCCCTATCAAGAAGAAGACATAAGTACCTTAAAAATCATGCACATATATAAACAAATTTACCTTAATAATATCGAAACGTGTACATTTTCAAGTGACAATAAATCATTAAATAGACATCATAACTAACCAGATACTGAACTGAAAGCCTGTTCCACTCTCTCGCAAGAAGAAAAACCTGGTGGTGGAGGCCTGCTTGGAACTGAAAATCCTGGAGGAGCAGAAATTTGAGCTCTAGAAACAGCTGCAAATCAATATAAAACCAAGGTCATGAGATGTATGTTTGCAGCATAAATACACATGCAAATCTCTTAACAACTCAGACAATGAAGCACTAATACAAATACAAATCTCATATCAACTCGGCCAATGGATAGTTTTGCAAGGATGCACCTAGACCTTTAGTTTTTCAACCTCAAAAGGTGGGGATCAGGAGATCCAGCACAACTTTAGCAGCTGTTAGCTACCTTAAGCCTATCTGGGCTGTTTTCTTTTTTCACTTGACACCATTAAAAAAGTGCATTTTACAAAACATAACAGCAAAAGAGAGTATATTTCAAAATAGAATCTCACACAAAGCAAATGTTTTCAAGCAAGGAAAGAGCAAAAGCAGAAACTTAAGGACGGTATTGAAAACAGTAGAGCAGTGAATCCAATAACAAGATCCAGTGTAGAAGCAACTATAAAAGCTACATTAGCCAGTTCAACAGGTTACTAATGGTAATACTTACCAGAGTGCTTATTAGAAGAAACAAAGTGACCACCGCCTAGATTTTCAGATTCCTCAAGTTTACAGGAAGAGAAGCCATTTGTCATACCCAACTTCCTATCATTATGCAAGTCTATTTCAGAAAAATCCTGCATGAAAGAGCCCCTCCTTGGAAATTGCTCGCTAATACCATGAGATGGATTTGCATTAAATGCTTGGATTTTAGGTTCATCCTGTCTTGCAAAAGAGAATCTTGATTGACTATTATTCTGCACTTTCAAAGAACTGGATTTTTTTAAAGGAACAAACTGGTTATCAGTGTTGTCACCCAGCAACTTAACCAAATTCTGAGGTGATGTTAGTGAGTCATCCCAAGAATCAAAGTCCATGGACAATATATTTGAAATAATGCTACTCTCACCCTTGTCCAATGCAACATCATTTCCAGCACTAACTGATTCGATGAATAATCTTTCAATGCACTGTTCATTTCTTATATCCTGAAGTGAAGTACAATCAGTGGTGCTATTCAAATCAGAAGAGCAGCTGCGGACCAACTTATCAGGATGACCATTACATAATATGCTGGATGGATGCAATAGAGAATCATCCCCAACCTTAGAATCAGCAGATACAAAATCAAAAGTCATAGCAGGAGACTGTTCCCCTTGTTGGATAAGACTATGATTAGAATGGAGTGGGACATGAACAAAACTTGTTGACTTAGGCATGTACGGAGAATGACAAACAACTTCTGGATCTTTGAGCCTTTGATTATCGAAAGAAGCTATATCATCTTCCAAGTCAGTTGTAACTGATACTATTTGGGCTTGTGAATTCAATTTCCAATCAGACTGCTCCCAATCAGATGGAGCAGCTTTACCAGATTCACTTGAAAATTGAACATCCCTAAATTTGTCATCTTTGTGCTGTTGTGATGCTTGAAGTTGAGGAGACCTTGTCAAGATATAATCAGAAGGGGGGCTATTAGATCTGACCATACCATAGTATTCATTTTGGCCATTTCTATCAATGTTAACAGTGGACAGATTGGAGCACAGGTTCTGAATCTCTTCATTGGTAGCAATAGTTGCTTCCTCAAGACCAGAGCTGCATGGCTGCCCAGTGAAGTCAGCAGAATTTGTTGTTGTATTTGATGTAGTACAACTGCCTCTATCACCATCTCTGGATAATGGTAAATTAGACAACAAGCTCTCTCGATTCACAGGTGCAAGAGAACCATCAGATGTAGCAGTCTTTTCACATGTACTACTCGGATTGTCCATGAAATTTAGTTGCTTTACAGGTTTTAATGATTCATTTCGTACTCTAAGGTTATTAGGACTTCCACCACTTGACAGTGGCCTCTTTGTTGCATCACTGTGCAATGAAGAGTTCTGGCTTGAACCTGTAACAGCTGAAGAAAAGGCTAGTGTGCCACTAACAGCATCAGCTTTTGGCTTAGCTGGTCCATTAGGACATAATAAACCTCCAGAAGAGGGCTCACAACTTGTAGCTCTCGTACCCCTAAAACAAAAATAAAAAGTTCAGGGAACATATCATCGTTCAACAATTGCAAACTGAACAGCCAAATACCATACCATGCAGCAGCAGGATCTAAAGCTATAGATCTTCCAGAACTTCCATTCGGAGGTGAACCTCTTACAGTGCTAGAGGAATTCTACTCAATAATAAATTACGTAGTTAGTACATCCTTCAAGTTCAGCCGTCCAAGTGCATAAACTACATTTTGCTAACAGGATACCCAAGCTGGGAAGGCAGCTAAAAAACCATGTGCGCAAGTGACAAGGTCAAAGCTACCAAGGAAAAGGAGACAGTTAGGTGAAAGTAAAATACATATCTTACATTTGTGGCATTTTTCACAATGGGTTTTCCAGCAAATTGGTTCATGAAATCATCAACTGGGGGTGGCAACACATTCCCTGACCGCCGTTGCATATTATTTGTGGCACCCGTAATTTGTTGAACTCTGCTTCTTTAAAAATAAAAAATAAGTACAACATACCACTAAATGATAATCACCACATGCAATTCAAGCAGCATAAAGCAAAAAACTTGCAAGCAAAAAAGAACAAACTCTGAAGGAATGGAACCAAAACATAGCTTCCATCATCAATATATCAAATATATAAAATAAAACTTATAAAAAGGCCACATTTTTTAGCCATAAATAGCACAGTTTATTTTTCAGACTCCAAGGGGAAACATCTAGTTACTATAAATTGAGTTCCCCAGGAACTAATTAATTTCTCAATAGCCAAAATCTCAATTATAATACGACTAAACACCTTCCCTAAGACCATCAACTACAAAGCAACAGATAGTTTCCAGCAAATATCTATACACATATCATATCATCTATTCTTACAATTCCTAATATCTTTGGCATCATTCATCGTTTCTCTTTGGTTTACCATGTGGTTGGAGGCTTGAAGCCCTCTGATAAATACTTTCCAGTTCTAACCAGGACCAACATATGATCTAGTGAATTGAAAAAAAAAAAAAACCCTACAACCCTCGTCTAATTGTTCAATGTGAAAAGGACAAAATAAACAAGTACACAAGGGTTTTTAAAAAAATCAACCGAAACCAAAATGCTTTCAAGAGCAAGGGTGGAAAATATAACTTGTATTTTCTTCCCCAAACAGGCAAAAAGCCATCTACATTTTGTTCAAGGAAAAGTCAGTATATTAGGATCACAATCACACTATTGGGGAAGAGCATAGATTCATAAACATCATCAAATAAGATATAAAATGGACACTATTAAGCAAAAAAAGTACCTAGTGTATGCTGAAATTATTTCATCTTTAGTGAAACTATCTTCTTGAGAGCCAATCTCATGCAGATATAAACAATCAGGATTGCTGCAAGGCTGGTAGCAGAAGATATTAAAAGCAGATTTAATCAAATATAACAAAAATTGAAAATTTATGCAGGCACATCCTTTAGTGTACCATGTTTCGGAGCCAGGCATGACAATACTTTGTGGTTCCAAAACAAGCCCTGCAAGTGCAACATAGAAGAGCAAATAAGCAAGATTCAGAGGCCAAACATCTCAAACACGAGCACATGCATATGTCAGTACCTTAAAGGTCTACCCTCCAAGACAAATCCATGTACATTTTGAATACAACGAATTGCTTCTTCTTCCTTTGAGTAAGTAATATATCTGTAATAAATCCTTCCATTAACAACCGTGATAATAATACATCATGAATAAGGTAATAATAAATGCTGGCACAGTAATAAAGTAGACAAAGGAGAAAAAGAATCCTGAACAAGTTCCTCACATTAGGTTGGCAAAAGCCTATTTCCAGTATATAAATGGAAATTTTTACACACAGAGAACAACAAAACGTCCTTTTTGCCACTCTTTTCCCATTCTACATAGTCCAAACTGAAAGATGTCTAAAAGAAAAAACTAGAAAGGTGCTTAATTCAAGTCGATGACAAAAAAAGTTAAGTGTCATATTACAGCAACAAAGTAACAGTTTTGAAAATCTAGCAATCAGAGAACTATAAAATTACACCCAATAGCATTAGAGGAAGAAAAACTACGATAAAGAATGAAGTATAAACTTACACACTACATGTACTGTTTGGAAACTGTTGGATGACACCAGCTGCTGTCCGAGACATTGACACTTTTAAGACTTTCCCATACTGACCAAAATACTCTCGCCGCTGAAGAATCTGCACAATTGGTGATGAAAATAATACTCCACTCTAAGGGAAAAACAGACCGTGGCAATAACTAGAAGAAGAAGAAGAATCCAAATGAAAAGACAGCAGTCCAGTGCCCATGTAGAGGAGAAGCAAAGAATTTTACTTCTTCATCTGCCAGATTAAGTGGCAATCCAACTATATAGACAAGATTCCGCTGAATCACTCGAACACTGCTCAGCTGCTTCCGGCCTTCAGAAGATTTAGACTTTGCTTTCTGACTCTTCATCTTCCTTTCAGTATTAATTTCTGCTACCAATCTACAGGGAAAAGCCCATCACCAAGAAAACACATGAACGCTTTAGTAAGTAAAATTTTAATGAAAACAAATAATTAAATCTGAACATCATCAGCTATTGAACTATCTCAAAGTCAATGCGGAAAACAAAAACTATCTTTTAAGTTTCTAAAGTAGCAAGCTAAAAGAAATACCCAACAGATGTTTTTTTACAGATGGGGCAGAAATATTTAAGATGTTCAGGGGATAAAGGCCGACAAAGATATTAATGCATATCAAATGTACAAAAATATTGTTAACCAAACAACCTCTCACAGTTTGCAGCCATCCCTACAATCTTCTCCTTGTCATATGGAGTTCGACATGCAGGGCATCTCCCTTCTGTGTCATCCTTCTCAGCCATATCCATTATGTGATGCCAGCACCAAACGCATATCTGAGATTAAGAAGAGGTGAAATTAAAAAGAGGATAAAGTTAACTACAGTTCAGTCATAAGAGATAGTTCCAAATTCCAATAGATTTAACAAAATTGGACTGAAAAAAAACTAAACATGACAGGGAGAGGTGACGGATAAGCCTTAAAACTTAAAAGATAACATAATATGTGCTCCAAATCCTAAAATATGGACCGCAAAGAACAAATGGGAGGAACTGAGAAGAACAATTGAAAAACTTTGAAAGCACACAGTTTCAGCTCCAAGAGGGGAAAAATGAACAATCTCCAAAGTTAACAACCATGAAGGAAGAGAAAAAAACCTCATAACCACATTTGCATGGCTTCAACTGCTGATCAGTCAAATCCATCTCTTCTGCACAAAGAGGACAAGTCCTTTCTCCTTCATCACTCATGATTGCCCTGAAGGAAAATTAGAACAAAACGCATACTATAAGCAAACAGAATTCAATTCCAGAGCTAAAGACTGCAACAACAAAAACACTCAATCACATCCAAAAGCATACAAAGATTTGTCACCCACGATGTACATCAGAGAGAGTCAAAGACGCAAACTTCGGATTGAATAATCTCTAGATGTTCAAGTAAAATAAGAGCCTTCGAACCAGGAAAAAATATTTTGACAAATAATTTAACTTCCCGTGTCCCCCCTCGAAATCAGCTTAATAACAATAATGACAATATAAAAATGCAAAAATCGATACCAAAGCCCACTGTAACTTGATACTTATAGTCCGATACATTCACTCTATCAATACAGTAATCAACAAAATAATGGAAAGATTGCATTGAAGAATAGGCAAGATTCAACAGAGAGATCTCCATCAGTAGCGTGTTAGTGAACTGAAACCTAAAAACACACATAATTCTTCCATTTATCACAAAATATACCCCAACAGTATCGACTACAGCACCATTTAATCGTCGGATATATAAATCAAAAGTCTAAGGACGATATTCAAACTTGAACCGAATTAAGAACTCCTGGAGAGACCACAGATCAACTGAAAGATGCATCGAAACATACAATCAGGCGAATAAAAAGATAGCGAGAGAATGAATTGACAATCTACAAATTAATCAAATTGTTCACAAACATCAAAATCGAAATCCGACACACAACATAACCGAAACGGAAAACTGACTTTGAATTCAAAAATTGCAACAAGAGTACACAAGTTTGCAACTAGAAAAAATAATTGCGACGATGCGATCAAAAAACATCAGCTGACCTTAAATTAGGGATCTAGGATAAATAAATTCGATGGAGACATTAGGGCCGTAGATTGAGACTACATGACTTACAGTTGAGAGATCGAGAAGATGAAACTGTGAGGACGAGATCGTTTCAGAAGCGCACGATAACGAAAACGCAGAAAGAGAGCGAGAGACCAAAGGGTGAGGGGCAGAGGAAGCCACAAGGACTCTTTAAAAGAGAGAGTTCGGCTTTGTTTGGATGGCTTTATGGCTGCTGCTTCGCTCGCTGCGCGTCGCTGTCATTTTAGTAGTATTATGGACCTCTGGTTAATACCCTTAGATTTTTACCTAATTACGAAGACTACCTGTCTGCCCTTTTAATTCTGGTTCCGACCTCCTGCCCGTTCCGTTTTGTCGAGCTGGGTTCTCCAGTATTCGGCAAACGCAATCCGCGTTACACTGTCACTGGTTCTTCGGATGAACGACACGTGGATATTCATTTCATCCGACGGATAGGTTTTTTTCTCTAGGTTTCATGAAGAAGCCCTTGTCGTCAGCCTAATTTGTGATCTTGGGGTTCTAGTTGGGGAAAATAAACCAAAAAAAAAAATAAACCTAATTTGTGATCTTATTCAATTCTCGCGTCCATGAGCTGTTGGAATATCTTTTATTCAACTGTTCATGTTAAAAAAGATATTTTTTATTGAACTATATGGGCCGAGCAATTTAAAAAAAAGAAGAAGAAGAATTTCATTAAAGAATTACAGAGATGACTATGACATATTTTCAAATCAAATCTAAAATATTCTGAAATTTCACTTTAAGATATTAGGTTTGAATTAAAATAAAATTAAAAAATATCTGTTTTTAATACGTTGTAACGTAACAAATAATATAAAAGAATTAATAAGTAAAATAAAATATTCAATAAGTAATATAATTTATTGATAATAAAAGTTTATGCGGTGATTAAAATCTACAGAAACTTGTTAAATTATTATCATTATCGTTATATATAAAATCAACAATTTTAAGACTTATTTGACTATTTGTTTTTAGAATATTTTTTCATTCAGAAAACAAAAAAAAATAAAAAAATCATTTGAAAAGTGTTTTCTGTTATCTATTTTTAAAAATGTTAAAAGTTGTTTTAAAGAACTAAAAAACCAGAATGTCTTTTAGATTTTTTTTTGTGTCCTGCAAAATTAGAGAAAAGACGAAAAAAAATATGATGCCTATGAAAAATATGTTGATAAAATAAATTATTCTTTCACCATTTATTTCGTCAATTTAGATATGGTTTTCAAAATAATAGTTCAAATAGATTTTGTTCATTTTTTTTTTTAAAACTTGTTTTGGAAAACTATTGTATAGAATTGTTTTAAGAAAATAAAACCAAACAAGCCCTTGCTTGTTTAATTTTCTTGTGTTACTTGGCACATCTAGTATATTGTAGATAATATGATTATCAATCATTAAGAATACTTGTTAATGTGAATTCCTTAACTTTGCTTACTCATTTCATTACATGAAGTGCTAGCTCCACAACTTTATTTGTGAAATTCATGTGATGAGTTAAATTTATTATTGTTAAGCTGTTAGTATAACTTGAAAAATCAATTACATTACATGTTAAATGCTTTACTTTGTTTATTAATTTCCTTATGTTACGTGTTTTGCTGCAACACATTAAAATGAGGATATTTTGGTCATTCTATTTGGCAATATTATTTCAAATTAGGTCCAACATCTTTCGATGATATTAAAGTTCATATTTTTTTAAGACTAATGTGAAAATATATCTTATCTAAGGTCTTTGAATGAAATTCTTCTTAAAAAAATTCTAGTTTCAAGGGTCTTTACGAAATTATTAACATTGTTTTTGCTCGTGCTATCTACCCAAAAAGTTTCTTATCCAATTATTCTTTATGAAATTAACGAATGATACTATATTTATTATTTTTTGAATGTTAATTTTAATCATGACAAATTCCACCTTTATTGATTATTTTGATATAATTTTACACTCCTTTTAGGATTGTTAATATCCTTATTGTCAATAAAAAAGGAAAAAAACTCCTTTCACTCAAGCTATAAGACATATTTGAATGTTATTTGGTGTTTCAACGTATAAAGCACGTTAACATAAATAAGATTTTAATAATTGTTGTTGTTTCAATATTACCCTTCTATCCTTGTTATATTTTCTCTCTTTATTTAATGTTTCATATATAAGGTTATACTATTGAATAGAGGATATTTTTAAAAATTTATATTAATGTTTTAAACAAATAAAGCTATAAAATGTTTTTAATGAGTTTTATTAACATGTATAATTTTGTCTAAAAGTGCCTTATAAATTGAAATAGGAAAATATTAGCAATTTTGAATCCATGCTATAAAAGAAAAAAAAAGTACTCACGCCTATTGTTAGAATGTTCTGCAGGCAATGTTGCCTCTAACAAGAAGATAATTTTTTAGGATTATTCAATAAAAAGTATCAACCAGTGTTTTGAAACTAGAATCGGATCGGACGATTCGACTAGTCCAACCGTCACCTTTCGAACAAAACAAATTGAGCCAAGCAAGTTTAAGAGGACTAGATTTAACCTACCACCTAGAACGGGTCAAACTTAAAAAAAAATTAAGGCTTGAAGTTAAGAACAAAGGTCAGTCACACCTTACACACTCTCAATCTCTCACCCATTATTCATAAATTTGCCCCCACTCTTGACTCTCACCATTATCATCTCCCTTAAGGCTTAAACTTTGATTCTCTCATCCAAGCTTACTCAATCTCTAATTCTAATGTTGATGTGCCTCTATCCTTAACCTAACTCCAACATTTTGCGTCACTGGTGAGAAGGAAAGCTCATGACGACCTCAACTCAATGCTCACTCAGCCTTTTATCGTGAATTGGTGGCTTGATGCCTTCATTATTGTCAGTGTGCTTTGCTCTCCTTCCACTGGTAGGTTCAATTTCTAGCTTCTATGTATTTGACTCTATGTCACTAGAAAAAAAGGTACATTAATTTAACTAACCTTTCTTTATATTTTTATTGTGTTTTGTCTTACTCAAAAAGCATGTATGGAGAGAGGAAGCCAAGACGAAAAAGCTAAGATCATATTGTTGAGAAGATGAAGAAAGAAGTAAGGAGAGAGCTAAATAAGTAGTAGATACTGTGTTCATTCAATTTTATCCACATCAACAATAACAAAAACCAAATCATAAAGAAAGGGGGAAGCCTTTAAGAAGTGTGAAGACAAAGATGGAATGGAGAAAATGAGAAGGGAAGAATCTGGATGCTCGAAAGAAATAGCAATTAAAAAGAGATAATATTATAAAACAAAATCGTGTTGTAGATGGTGTTTTTGGTTTTTAGGCTCTTTGTATTTCGTGCTCAATGCTCACCTTGAATTAAGATTAAAAGCAAGAGTGTCTATTAGGCTATCAACCTATCACTTACAATTTTGTCTTTTTTTTTATTTACTCAGCATGTCATATCTTTCCCTATGCTACTTTTTAAATTTAAGATTATTTTTTGATTAAAAATTAAATAAAACTAAAAAAATAAAATTATATAATTAATATAATAAGTTTTATTTTCTATTTTAAGACACTTATAATTTTTTTTCTTCTTATTGATTCATATTGATATTGATATTTTTATTTAATTATTTTGTTAACACTTCAATCATCGATTTAACCGTTTAAACAATAAAAATTGTAACTTGCTTTTTCAGTTTGACTTTTAAAACATTGGTATCAACACTCCTTTTTTCAAATGAGATGCTTGCTTAACCTAAGTATTATGTCAACAAATAGAACCATAGGAAAATGAATGCAACTGAGCGACTAAGAGAAGGTGGAAAGGAGGACAATGGTATAGGGAATGAAGTTAAAGATCCCAACATGATGGTGTTTAAGGTTGTGGCGGAGAAACCCAGCGTTACTGAGAAAGTTGAAAAAGGTAAGGAGAGAATAAGGTACTCGAGGAAGGTAATGACTTGTTGAGACTCATTGTAAAGTCTCAACCATTCAAGGTTTCTCTCACTGAATGATGAGAAGGATGAGATTTTGAGAGGCTAGAAGGGCCATTTTGAGAAAATGAATAATGAAAGGAAGTAAGCAGTAGAGGTGATTGATGAAGATTCCCATGACTATGAGATTGGTCATAAGAGATGTCCAGAATTGGGTGTTAAGGGTCACGAGTTCAACCAAGGTCAAACTGGGAGTCAAATTAGAGACTAGTCATAATAAATAATATAATCAAAATAAAAAGACATTAATTTGAATAATATAATTCACCAAAACTAGACCACTACCCTCCCTATCCTTAGATAAAGCATTCATCTCAGCCCAAAGTCATTCTTTAGGACCTACCAATTTCACAAAAGACAAAATACCTTTTCTTCTTACTTTGTTCTTTCTACGTCATCTTTGTGTTGTGCAGTGTATAAGCCTAAAAAACACCAAATAAAACCATTAAAAATATAAGCATGAAACCATCTTCTCCATCACCCATCAAGCTGCACTTTTTTTGTTTCATATCCATCTCTTATATCCTTACTTTTTAGTTATCTCTTTGAGTGAGTCTAGTCCAAGCAACCCAAGAGCATAAGTTGGATGGCCAAAGACAAAAGATGAATGAGATGATGCCCAAGTCGAGGGAAGGTACAAGAGCATACTACTTGAGCCTTAAAGACGACAAAGACTTATAATATGTAATGCCCTTCCCGATATTATCATTCAAACTTAAACAAACAATTTAATAATTAAAAATATTTCTAATAATGGTTTGGGTCCCAAGTTCAAACATTTGAAAACCATTTTTAAAGTGTTCAAGTTGAAGAGCAGTGCACAGTTGAAGTACTAAAACCATGTGCATGAAACCTCAAAGAAAACTGATTCTAAACATCACTTATTTGGCAAAACATGAGCCATGCGTTGTGGCATGTGGCACAAAAATACTGGTGTTAGTTCTATGCCATGTGCCACGGCATGTTGACACATGTGCTGTGGCCTACACATTAGATTCTACTATCAAAACAACAGCTCTGATGCGAACTTAAAAGATGCATTATTTTCGCATCCGATATCCGATTGAAGTGATACAAATACCTATATAAAGTTTGTTTTAAAATCTAACCAATGACATTAGTTTCATCTAAATTCAATATTTTGTTTAAAGGTATGACATTCAAGTGCATCTTGACCATTTTATGTCGAAATCTTCCACTTGAGCACCCCAATTTGAAACCATA